GAGATGGTTTTTTTTAATTTCCATGGCAACCTCCGCAGTACTCTTGGGAACTGGCGAGAGATTGGGACGCGTTAGCGAAGGTCTCTGCGCGCGTATGCATATTGACGAGACGCGAAGACACATTACACGTAAAACGGTCGTGCAGAATGGCAGCAAAAAGAAAATGTCACGAATTCTCTTCGCGTTTTCACTGCAATCGTTTCAACAACAACCACAAGCTGTCTTGTGGTTGTTGTTGTTGTTGTTTGACTTGCATCCCACTGGGATTTTTTCACACAGCGTTGGTGTACGGTGTTTTTTCTGCAATATTTTTGCTGTCTTTTCTTGGATTTTCTGTTTGCACTTAGTCACATATTCACTTTAAGATGTTTTTTGTTCATGTTTTTGTTTTTTGTTTGTTGCGGTTGCACCCGATTCAAGAGCCGAATGGCTCACAGGGCTACACCTAATAAATAAACTTGAACTTGAACTGCCACTTTTGATCACAGACCAGTGATTCATTAGCCGATGGACATTCGAATGCAATACGCTGGAGTCTTCGTGGCAGATATTTCACGTACCCTTTTTTCAATGGAATATATTCATATATTTTGCAATTGAAGGCAATTTTGTGTCGAGATGAAATGTTGAATGTGGCAATGGCACCACCAATAATAATTTAAAAGTGACAAAACATTCTGTGAAAATCGGACACAGAACAGAACGGAATTATTTAACAACTGAACAAGGGAAAAAAATCCACATTTAGCATTCACCCAGCACACACACACACCTGTGTTTCGTTTATGGAAATTTTATGTCGCATGAAATTGCCGATTACACCACAAAAAACTACTCTGCTCAGTCAATTTAATCTCGGGGAGGTGGGCTAATTTAAAGAACACAATATTATATATTGCTGCAATTATAAACATGGCACATTTAATCGTCAATGCATGAGTGGCCCAGAACACGCGATTGTTTTCTTTAGCTGGGTAGTGTGAACAAAGTGGCCTCGGCACTGTGATCCAACACCATTGTGGATGAGTGCCCAAATACGGACGAAGCTAAAATAAGCGAACGCCTTCAAACCACAAGGTGGTAGCATTGCAGCTTTAATAAAAACCCGCCTGAAGTGCTCGTTTCGTTTACCGATTCCGTGTATTGTTCCAGGATGGTTTAACATCGTGAAGCACGGGATTTTTGGTACAAATGTTTTTGATTTATCAATGCATTGCAGATTTTTAAATCCACGTTTGTGTTATTGGTGAGATTTTTTTAAAAATGTAATTGCAACTATTTGTAGATACCACAAAAAATAGGTTTGACTGTTGAGTATGTATTGTTATAGTCTATAGATGTGTGTGTTTAGGTGTATACAGTGGGGAGCGGTAGTGTAGCGGTTAGTGCTCTGCACTACAAACCTGACTGCCAGAGTTCGATTCCCGCTCACGGCCAACACCACTGACGATTATCTGAACCAGTCCTGGGCCTCTTCTAGGTCGACTCAGTCTCAAATGAGTACCTTGTGTGGTGTGTAAACATTGCCACTAGGGAGACAAAGGCGGCTGGGAGTGGTGTTGGCCACCACCCCCTCGTGTGCTGGGTTTCATAAGTACTCGCTAATAGCACTTGCCCCAATAGTTTGTTCAGGCTATATGGGGGATCTTTGTCTTTTTGTTTGACAGTATATTCAACTCACTCAATTATTTATAAACGCATGTTGAAATGTATCTCAACAGATGAAGAGCAAATCAAGCTTTAATACGTTCTTATATCGAGCCGTCCATAAATGACGTCACGCACCTAGGGGGGGGGGGGCAGACATTTGTGACGATGTGTGACGAGGTGCGGGGGGGCTTGAGAAATGTGACGTCATATCAAAATGCGCAACTTTAAATAAATATAGACAACACGTTCTACTTAATTAAATAGACTTTTAAATAAATGTCTTCTCCTACAACATCAGAGTGCAGCGCCACATTAAATACGCACTACAATGACAATAGTTTAAAGCGATTTGAAGCATGTTTATTTTCAAAATGGAATTATGGTTTTGGGGGGGAGGGCAGAGCTATGTGACGTCATATTTGAGGGGGGGTCTGACTTTTTGTGACGCCGTGTGACGAGGGGGGGAGGGGTCAAAAATCGTCCAAAATCGCGTGACGTCATTTATGGACGGCCCCTATAACACACGAGTAAGAACATTACTTGGAGAGAAAAAAAAGTTGAGGAGAAAACAATAAAATGTCCAGACAATCCTGAATTTTTTCTCTGCTCAAATACAAATTTAGATGTGGCCAGGTGACTCAGGGAATGTTGCTTGTGCCGTGCGGCTGAGATCCAGAGTTTTAATTTTAGGTTTCGGCCAACTGTGATTACGTCATGTTGCCCAGTTTAGTGCTGTCTTACTCTGTGCCTGGTCATTAAAGAGTGCATAATCCTAATAAAAAAATATAAACTTTCACCTTACATGTGAAATTCACATAATTGTGCCGGGAATTGCTCTTTGGATTTAAACAAAATTATTTCACAGAACTCAACATTTCACCGTTGCGGGGTATGTGGGAAAATGCAGCAGTCCCTAAAATGGATCTTCTTTTTAAAGGCCAATTTAAAGGAATCTAAGTACTGCAGTGTTGTGATAACCTTCCCCCTACAGGCAGTTATATTCCACAATGTAACACATCGCTCTGAAAGTTCAGTTTCAGTTTTATTTATTAGGTTTAGCCCTGTGAGCCATGCGGCTCTTGACTCGGGTGCAGCTGCAATAAACAAAAACATGAACAAAGAACATCTTAAAGTGACGACGCGCAACAGAAACATGCAGGAAAAACCAGCAAAGTCTTCCAGAAAAAATCACTGTATATCAACGATGTCTGCAAAAATCCCAGTGTGATCCAAGTCAAACAATAACAACCATAAGACAATTTAGATATGAAGTTATCAGGCTAACTCCGTACTTCAACAAACAAACATGGCTTAACCATACGTTTTCGAAATCACCAATCTATAGCTATAAAAACAATGTAACAGTGATCAAAGGAACTGTTGTTCAAATTTAACAATAAACGATATCCATAACATGTATGACCAAACTTTGCAGCCATAGCTGGCAGCATGAATCACTCCATAACAGCAGGATGATCAGCAGCAGTATCAACATGTTTCAATGAGTTCCAATTGGATAATGCTGCCGACAGCAATATTGGGAATAAATAGGGCAAAGATGAGATGAATGAATATGCATGAAAAATAAAGAAAAAATACGTTTTTCAAAGACACCGCTGTAATCGTGTGTGTGTGTGAAAAGGGCCAGCATTAAGCAATAATGTGTGCAGCCACACCTGATTGTTTAAAGCGCATGTTAAGAGTGTATATACAAGGTGTTTTAAAAAATTACACTTACAAGAATTTGGAACAATACCACCAGAAATGTGCCTTCGGGCTCAGGAGACCACCTGGAGAACATTCCAGGCACGCGTTGACAATGATGGCGAACAAGTGGAGAATCTTTGACTTTTTGAAGCTATTCACATAATTTGTTATCATGTTACAGTGTAGTATTATCCGTTCTTTTTCCATTAAAAACGATAGTCCCAGAAACATTGTTTAGAAGCACCTTCTATAATCCATTCCACAGCATATTGCCTGGTGCTTATGAAAGTGCACATATTATAGTGAGACGAGATGAATATTTACTAGTGGGTACACATTCCTTTATTATTATTACTAGTATGTGCCCAAGTGGGTATTGCAAATTAAATTAAAATTAATAAAAGTAAAATAAAAATAAAATAAAAATCATGACGTTTTGAAGGCAACACAAGCTTCCGTCTTCAGGTGGAACCGTCACAGCACGATAGCTGTATCAAGTGAGATAAATTCCAAGAAAACAGTCCTTGTATATATACATATATTCTGGTTATTAACAGATTGGCATGTTCCGGAATTTATCTTACTTGATACAGCTATCGTGCTGTGACGGTTCCACCTGAAGATGGAAGCTTGTGTTGCCTCCAAAACGTCGTGATTTTTATTTTACTTTTTATTTTACTTTTATTAATTTTTTACCTACGTCACTTTACCGAAAAAACCTAAGAATATGAATCCTTGCAGTCACGGAAGCTTCAAATCTAGAATTGCAAATTAAAATTGACGAGTTCAACCAAAATATTGCCCCAGGATGAGGCCAGCCGAGAAATGCTCATCCTCTTTCATTGGCTGATGCCATCATTGACATTTGTGTCTATCAATACACGCTAGTCCTAATTAGGTTAATCTGCTGTCCTAAATATAGAATATTTGCAAGTTCATTGCCACGTTAATATTTCCATAGCATCCAGTTCATGATCGAGCACACGCATGCAGGAACTTCACACGACCCACAGACCTAGAATCCAAATTAACAGTTGGAAATATCGCTCATAATTGCCCCTGCCTAACAAAATATAACATTGCTCGCCTAAGTGTGTTTTCGGGTTTTACCCCGTAACGTTTGGCATGATGTGACGTTTCATCCTGAATCAGTTCCTGAAGAAGCTCACAACACGTGGAACATTTAACATCGGACATTATGCCAAGTAACAACAACACGCATTATACAACCCAAAAACATTGGCGAGCTATACAGCATAACCGCGAAAACATCGTCGCAAAATATAACATTTGTACATTGCAGCGATTTATATGTGCTGGGGGATGAGCAGAAATCCAGCGCGTATCTGTTGCAACCCATCTAGAAAGTGTGAATGACAAAACGAGAAAGATGAATGCCCCCGGAGTGAGCGAGGCGATCTCTGCAGTGGTGAGGTCATTGTTTGCAGAGATGACCTTTACACATCCCCAATGTGCAAGCAAACCATATGTGCACATTTGTAAAAAAAAATGTTTGATACAGCAGGCTTTAGCTGGAGAAGGGACGAAAAAGTTGCTATTATTTTGAGAAATGGCTCGTGCAATGTACCGGAAATTGTGACATTAACACTTTCTCTCCTTTTTGGGATTTCGTTTCAAACCAGGTACACAAAAATGAAGACGGCCACCAACACGTACATCTTCAACCTTGCGCTGGCAGACACATTGGTCACCACCACCTTGCCCTTCCAGAGTGCCGATTACCTCATGGGCTCGTGGCCTTTCGGAGAGGTGATCTGCAAGGTGGTGATGTCCATCGACTACTACAACATGTTCACCAGCATCTTCACGCTCACGATCATGAGCGTCGATCGCTACATCGCTGTGTGCCACCCGGTGAAGGCTCTGGACTTTCGGACGCCCTCCAAGGCCAAGTTGATCAACATCTGCATCTGGATCTTGTCGTCAGCCATTGGCATTCCCGTCATCGTCATGGGAACGGCCAAGAAAGAGGAGGGTAAGGGTGACTTTAGCGTTTGGAATGTTTTTTTTTTCTCTTAGTTTAATTTCATTTTCAGTGTCCTGCCTTTGGGTGGGATTTCTTATCACAAGTTACCAGGAGGCATATGAGAAGTATAGGCAATATGCTTACGATAACTGTGAAAATTTATGTTTAAATGTCTATTAAGCCTCAACTTAATGCAGCTTCATTTTTTTTAACCAAGCTGTCCATGAAAATATGTCTACGAACCATTTACATACTACAACCCGGAATTTACATTTCAATATCACCCTCGGTTGAGATTAATGTAAGACACCCCCTCCCCCCCCATATCTATTTATTCAGTAAAGTCATCAAAATGTGCTTCGGTCAATTCACTGCCAGAGGAATGCCTCCACCAGGCAATCACCATCCCTCAGAGTCCTGGATTTAATAATCCACCTCGCAACTGTAACGTGCCGATTTCATTGCTCCATCTCCGCTGGGCACCTACTCGTGGGTGCGTTCCCTACGCGGGCTGCCACGTCATCATTATTCATAAATCGGACACAGAATTTGCATTCAAATGGCACTCTCCATTTATATTTACGTCACGCCATCCAATCAGTTTATTTGGTACAGAATGCTGGAGAAATTGTGTTTGCATTTGATTTATATATTTTTTTTATATTGCTCGTTACCAAAAAAATATATATTTGCACAATTCAAGATATAGAAGGGACTGGAAAAGCTATTGACTAATTTATAAGCTTTAATCGTAGTGCCATTTATTATTAAAATGTACAGCGCTTTGCCAATCCACTGCTGGGTGAAGGCCTCTTTCAATCCATTTTGGTCCTGGGGGTTGTTTGACCATACTTCACCACGCTGGTCAGTGCGAGTTGGTGATGGGGGGGAGGAGACAAGGTCCAGTTTAAAATTCCTCGCCACTGATGTTAGCCGTTGTTCGAACTGACGATGGCCGGATTCATACAGCATTATATTCGTGATCTTTTTTGCCAGAATGAAATTGATGAAAAACTAATAATAGATTTCACCCTTTGGGTCCCATAGATATAACTGCTCAACTCGAGGTACAAATGCTCTCATACTTGCATTGCCTTTGTGGTGTTCGCCCTTTGGCCTTCTCTGATCTAACACTGCTGAGACAAGGCCATGAAGACGGCTGTATCTGGCGTCGACCAATCGGTTTCAAGGACAATGGATATATAACACTAGTCAACAACAAAAAAACATTTTTTTTCTGGCCTGGACTTTTATAGCTGTTTTAGACTAATTTCAGGGCGCTGATTCCAAATCTGATATCTGATTTGCTCTATCACATCTCATTTTTATGCTATCGGCATACCCCATTTTCATTGATTTTACCCGAAATTAACTCTGTCACTTACGATTGCAAGTTGTTGCGAGTCAGTGACTGCTTTAGTGTTAAAATGTGGTGCTGTATATTTAGGATAGTGTGTTTTATAATATCATTTTATGTAGATATCCACATTTATTTAAAATTTTTCTTCTGCAGTTTTTATTGAAAATTCAATATTTGATATCTCAAAAACTTGATGTGAAAGACAAAAACTGATGCCAGATTTGGAATCAGCACTCCAAAATTACCTTAAAACCGTTGGAATACCTTATGCGAGAAAAAGTGTGTTGACCAGTGTTATCGAAACATGTTTGCATGTATTGCCACAAGTACGTGTGCTTAATGCAGACGTGATGCCTTGCAAAAGGTATCTATTTGGTGTTTGAACAACTTAACACCTATTTTATTATAATTGTTTTTTACCCTTCTATCTGGCAACAAAACAAGGAGTCATGCTTGCATAGACCACAATACCTGCAGTCATAATGCAAACAAAAAACATAACTCTGATAATGTGCACTGTCCTTGAAGTTGATTGGTCCACACCCGAGACAGCTTTCCTTAGAGCCTAGTCTTTTGGCGTCATCTGGTCCAACCCATGTGAGACTAGGCTCTAAGGAAAGCTGTCTCGGGTGTGGACCAATCAACTTCAAGGACAGTGCACATTATCAGAGTTATGTTTTTTTTTGCATTATGACTGCAGGTATTGTGGTCTATGCAAACATGACTTTTTGTAAAAAAGGTTTCAGTTTTGTTGCCAGATAGAAGGGTAAAAAAACAATTATCATATATTTTACTGGCAAATGAAGTTCCAGTGGTGTAAACTTATTTTATTGCCAGAAAGGGTGAAACCTATTCTCTTTTTTATCATCATCGTAATGCATTATTGCGCTAACCACTTGTCCACCACTCCATCCGTTAATGTGTTGACATGTTCCCATTTTAATTGCACGATTTAAGCACAGCAGGATGGAACACAATACGCCTCGTAAATATCCTGTTGTTTATTGACCCACATTATTGCGTGGATTACAGATGTCATAAAATATTGCACAGTAATCACCGGAATGATTTGTGGTTAAAATGCAGCCCATGCGAATGAATCAAAGCTATTGGAGGTAACTAATTATAACTGAGTGGATCGGGTAAATGTTGAAAACCTGCAAGGAGTGCTTTAGATGCATGACTCACCCAGGCAGTCAATAAAGACGGGTTGCAGTTTTAAAGCCCTGTATGATCACAATGGCTACAAAAGAGCATTTTACATCCTCGATGATGTGGTGTGTTCATGTAAGGTGGGCATATTCCACACTTGTGGTGAACAATGCCTGACAATAGTCAAGTAAACGCTCTACACTGGAGACGAGCGGGTGGCTCAGAGGTCATATTATTGAGCTGTCACTCCAAAGATCCGGGGATCAAATCCAAGTTTCAGCCAACCGTGATTTAAACTGGCTTCTCGAGTGTTAGAGGGTTGATGGTCTCAGCACAACAACAATTTTACATCAGATTAAATTTAGTTTTTGAACTTGTTGGAAATAAAAAAGGCCACTTGAAGCGGGGTTTTTTTTTTCTTCCTGGAGATGCCCTGTCAAATTTCCCTTCTGCAGCCATTCAACCGCTGACAATCGGGGAACACTGCACTTAAATGTTTCCAAATTGATTCTTAATATTATCACATGATGCCGATAGAACAATTGCAATTAGCAAAACATAACAAAATAAGTAAATGCATTAACCAAGAACTCCAACAAGCGAGACATAAGACTTTTCTCTTTGTACACTTAGTTTACGTCCCGTGCACAATCAAGAGGCTGTCATGGTACAATGGTTAGCACACTGGACTTTGGGTTACCTGTTCAAGCTCCTGACACGGCAATTCAAATGATGGCGCAAGTTGATTTCATGCACTCGCCTCTGTCCACCCAGCAGCATACACGGCAGGTCGTGTGTGAAGGGGTAAAGTTTGGATCTTCCCACCCCTTCTAAGATATTTGGGCAGCGTGGCCGCCCCGATGCCTTCAAACTAAACCGGAAGTATCACATCTGACACCGTGATGTGGAAAGCACGAGGCCCCCACAATGCACGGAGATCCCCAAAGTGCCAGGGGTCTCGTCGGGGCGGCCATCCAGATTCGCCGTATCCTCGGGATGGCCTTTGCTGGCCGCTGTAGAAGAGTAGGCAAATTACTTTCGAGAGGGACTCCTCTATAGCTCCGTCCAGTGGAGGCGCGCTTGCATCAGCGGTGATGTGAGCAAGCAATTGCAGGGCTGCACCTTTATCTTTCTTTGTTTGCGAAGGGAATCAAACGTTGAACCAAATATACAATTTTTCTGTAAAAATATCTTGTCATACAAGCTGTTCACACCTTTTTTTTCACGTATACAAAACGTCGGGAATCAATAACAAACGTCGACCGCCACTTTCGATGCGCAGGCATCATCGAGTGCATCCTCGACTTCCCGCATCCCGCGGTGAACTGGGAGAACCTGCTCAAGATCTGCGTCTTCATCTTCGCCTTCATCCTCCCGGTGCTCATCATCGTCGTCTGCTACAGCCTCATGGTGCTTCGCCTGCGCACCGTGCGCCTGCTCTCGGGCTCCAAGGAGAAGGACCGCAACCTGCGGCGCATCACGCGCATGGTCCTCATTGTCGTGGCCATCTTCGTAATCTGCTGGACGCCCATCCACCTCTTCGTGATCATCAAGTCGCGCGTCAGCATCAGCGACACGCCGACCGTCTCGGCCGCGTGGTACATCTGCGTCGCGCTCGGCTACACCAACAGCTGCCTCAACCCCGTGCTGTACGCCTTCCTCGATGAGAACTTCAAGCGCTGCTTCAAGGAGTTCTGCTTCCCGGCCGCGTTCCGCCGCGACCTGCAGGGCTCCAGCCGCGTGTGCGGCCGGCCCAACCGCGGGCAGGCATCGGCCGCGTTCAGCCACACGGAGAGGACTCGGCAGCCGGCGTGACTAGGCGTGGAAATGTCGAGTCTGGCGTCCCAGGCTCGGCCACGCGAGGACCCGAACTCGGAGCTGACGCAAATCACCATGGGTCTGTGAAAGGGGGGGGACTGGCTCTGCTGACCGGTGTTGAGTTTAGTTAAGCGGTGGGGGTGTTGGGGGGGGGGAGCACATTTCGCGACGAAAATATTCGGCAAAGGTTTTTTTACACCATTGGAACCTCATTTGCCAGTAAAAAATATGATAATTGTTTTTGTTTTGTTTTTTTTTACCCTTCTATCTGGCAACAAAACTGACACCTTTTTTTACAAGGAGTCATGTTTTGCATAGACCACAATTCCTGCAGCCATAATGCAAACAAAAAACCACAACTCTGATAATATATGCACTGTCCTTGAAGTTGATTGGTCCACACCCGAGACAGCTTTCCTTAGAGCCTAGTCTCAGTGCGCCTTTTGGCGTCATCTGGTCCAACACCATGTGAGACTAGGCTCTAAGGAAAGCTGTCTCGGGTGTGGACCAATCAACTTCAAGGACAGTGCATATATTATCAGAGTTATGGTTTTTTGTTTGCATTATGGCTGCAGGTGTTGTGGTCTATGCAAACATGACTCCTTGTAAAAAAAGGTGTCAGTTTTGTTGCCAGATAGAAGGGTAAAAAAAAAACAATTATCAAGGTTTTTTTGTTGTGTGTTTTTGTTTTATTTTAATCGACGATGGCGTTGCGTCGACGACCATCGACTAAACCCGTCAAAGACCAAAGCGTCACCGACTCTAGCGAGAGTAAATTACCCAGCGCTGAATGAACTCGGAGACTCGGATAATTGACCAACTTTAAAACAGAGATTGCGATGCTATTGAGGAATACCGAAAATGGTAATTGGCTGTATCTGACTGATTGGCTGATCTGATAGTGTTGGAGTGGGTGGGGGGGTACTAAGTGCATGCCACTCACACCAATATTTAACAATTGTGATCATAATTGGCCGCTCGAGTCGACGACGCTTAGAGAAATTAGTGCACGAAATCCGTAGATTAAAAAAAGTGACGAATATTTCACAGGTTGTCGCCGTCGATCAGACCAAGGGTGTGACCCCCCCCACCACCCCCGGGACTAAATCAACAACTCTTAACTAAATCCACACTGGTGGGGCGCCTTTGCCTGGTGTGGACGCTCCTGCCAGGGCGGTGATTTGTGTGACGCTCACTCCGAGTCGGGCTCAACTTTATGATCTACATTAGATCTTGGGGGTGGGGGTCGTTTTTGTTGTTGTTGTTGAGTCACAGGATGACGTTGAAATCAAAAGCGTGTTTGATCTCTTGCGCGTATACCGCCAGCAGGTATGCTACCTTGCCTGTCTAAGGCCACAGCCAGCGGTTGCGTGAAGCAAGTAATTGCAGGGCTGCGCCTCTGTCTTCAACCCAGGCCACACTTCAGACGTATAATTAGTTTAACAATGATGAAAAGATAAAGGTGTATGAATATTTAATGGATTGATGTAATATAGATGATGTTACCTCCACAAGGCTTGAACAATCTCGTAATTAGCAATCTGTGCCCGTTTTACAATTACAGTACCAATTCCAAATTGTGATTGCAGCAAACATCTAAGGTATTCACAGCAGTCTATTTTGTTTATTTCAGGCAGACCTTCCTTTAACCACAAACATTGTAACCACCGGCACATTGAAAATAAATACATTTCAATTTGCAATTTTCGAATAGGTGAACCATTTTCAACGTGGTTTTAATACGACACGTACAATTACTCTTTGAAATACGTTGAACACAAGCCATTTATGTAGGGAAAAAATATGTTATTTATATCGTTGGCGTGTTGTTAATTGCATATCAAATATTTGTCTCGTATAAAGTATCACCAAGATGGGTGGAGATTCTACAATCTACTAGCAGAATGTGCTGCATAAGCTCGTGTTGTAATATACGGCGTTTCAGGTCATGTATGTGTTGCTGCAATGCAGAATGTTCCTATCTTTGTTCTTGCTGAATTCCACTAGTTATTCACGAGACAATGAACATAAAAATAGTGAATATAGAATATATATAAAACGCTTTAATCTTTAATCTTCGTTAGCAATTTTTTTGACGGTTATGTACGTTGAACTTCTTTCGCACCGTACGTAGCCAACCGTGCTAATCGGAGGTGCCGGGTAAGGACAACAATGTACAGATGGATGCTCTCCACCTTTTGCGATTTTTAGAATGTCAGTGCATTCCACACAGTCTCGTCAACTCTACCATATTCTTAGGCTTCCCCCCTCTTCCCTTCCTCTTTCCCCTTTGCAGAATAATCGTCATCATTTCTGCATCTTGACCCTCTTAGGATATGCCCCGCATAACCCGCCTCCCTTTCTTATGATCATTTTTGGCATTTCCTGCTTACAGCCATTCCCTATCAGCAGTCTCCCCATTCTGATTCTTGTTGCCAGAGCTTACTCTGACTTGGCCGCCTTTCACATCACCACATCTCCAACACATTTATCCTTCTCATCCCATCCTTCCAGAATATTCTTGTTTCGCTTGCACATTCCATTACGTTCCACACCGAGGCTTTCAATATCTCGCTCCTTGCTTTTTTTCTGTTTAGCGCCTGCAATGTGACTGTTCTGTGCACATTTTTCAAAAGCTGTCTTGGTCATTGTGGTTCTTATCCTCAAGTCTTATCCACACCAACAAAAGGCAATCAGATTTATCACCCGTTCCATCAGATCTTCTCACACCCACACAATATGAGTTGGTACTCCACCTGTGCGAATTGCCACGATCTTTGTCTTCGTAATGTTGACATTCATACCACACCACCTACCAGCAGCATTCATTCCTGGTGGCTGGCCTTTGAGTCCACAATAGCTACCATGTCAACTGGCAAAAGGCAGAGATTATTGATTACAAACCCCTCAGCGTTTAACCCATGCTGTACACCCTCCACCGCATCTCTGATCAGGTATTCACTAAGTATTTTGAAGCGATATAACGCCGTGCCGCAACCCTGTCTCGCAATTGTATCGATTTGAAAGCTCATTTCTTTAGAACTGCTTTTTGTGCTTGTATGTATGTTGAACTTTTTTTCCGCCGTACGTGGCCCGCCGTGCTAATCAGAGGTGTTTAGAAAAAAATATTATTTTATTTTTATAAATAACTATAACAAAAAAATATGATTTTATTTGTATTAATAAATAAAATTAAAATAATATATATTACTTTATATTTTATTTAAATTTTTTACCTACGTGACTTTACCGAAAGAACCAAAGAGTACGGATCCCTGCAGTCACGAAAGCTTCTCATCAAGATCAGAGGTGTTTAGTTTGTTGTCCTTCCCCCACACCTCCGATTGGCACTGTTGGCTACATACGTTGCGAAAGAAGTTGCACATACATACATGCATACGTAATAACGCATTGACATTCTCGTGGATAGTATTATACACTATGTGTACATGTACAATATATAAATACATGTTCATTTTTAATTACATCGTACACGCACATCCCGATGCGTCTGCTGCTCTGCTCGAGGTTGGAGAGAACTTATCTTATTTGACATTTAAACAAAACGATGATATTCTGTGGACTCTCTCAACCTTTAACACCGGCTCTTTGTTTACATTGACAACAGCACGATATTGATTCTCGAGCACTGAGGCTCGGGCAGACAATGCCAGAGGGCACATTGAATATTACAAATTGCATCTGAGCAGACACGTAATCACCCTGAGATAGTCAAAAAACGATGCCAGTGGTTCCTAAAGAGTATTTAAAATGTTTGAAAAATAATGTCCTACGTGTCTCTGATTTGCATCTTCTTTTTTCGTCATCGACCAAATTGAATTGTTCAAGCATGACAGGATTCTGGAGATCCAGGATGTTTGCTCTGTCCGAAGGCGTTGTTTTTTAGAGCCATTCAATGAACGCAAAGGACAGGTCACCGCACAACCATGTTTTCACACCGTGCCATAGCACGTAGTTACTCTGCAGCTTGACTTGCCTGCCCAGGGCTAAGCCAAGCATGAACCCATCCACACACCTACTGAGCAGCACACTGCAGTCTTTATTTGCACGTTGATCGGCCCAGCACGCATATGAAACGCTTGGCAGCTAAAGTGAATGGAATAGATCCTGCTGCGTAGGTTGCTCCGCGGTTGTGCAGTGCATCTCTCGGGTGTGTTTTTCGGGTTGTTATACCGAGTGTTGTCGAGTCTGCATCTCGATTGAAGCCTTGTGCACACACGCTGGACAACTCATTTCATTCATGTTGCGGCACCCCACAACATAAGCATTGCACCTTGTGTGGTGTTCGACGCGATGCGCGACGTTTCGTTCCTTGTGTTGGGAGCTTCTTCGGGATACGACATATTGAGGCAGCAAACAACGTGCGGCACAACCCCCAAAAAAAACACATCAGAGGAAATTGGGAGAATATCGACAAACATGAACTGTCAGGAACATAACACGTGCGGCTCGTCCAGCTTTGCAATGAGCTGTCAGCTTGCATCTTTGTTGAAGCCTTGTGCACACGCTGGATTGCTAATTTCTCTCATGTTGGAGGGTGGCCCGAGTAGGCTGTGTTATGTTCTTCAAATGGCAACTATGAGTCGGAGCAAGCGATGCTCACGCTGTTCATTTCGCGATCCGTTCGACGAAGCCCTCGGCGTGTGTTGTTCATGAAGTAGCAGCCTGATGTGCCCCATGCACAACTGACTCACCCCTCCTGTGCGGGACGATGCCGTGTCCCCTTCCAGGGCTCTGAGGCGTGAATCGCAGCAGCAGCAGCAGACAATTGACGCTCATTCTGTGATTGTGTGCAACCTATTGGCTGACGGGGAAACACCAGGACGCTTTGATCCAACTGCATGCCGTGGTACACTTCCCCAGTCCCAATCTGTTTTGCAACAACAACAACAACAAAGCAGAGACTGCCGAGGAAGACGATGATGCCCACTCCTTTTCTCCCTGGGGAAGATGCCTTGATAAAATATTGACAATAACAATGATCGCATGGCTTCACATTTACTTTGGCGAAGCATGCATTGTTCTGTACCTGCAGATGAACTCTCAATGCTGACATTTTCAGATGGCTTGCTTTACGCATGGAGATGCGAGTTGGTTATTCGGGGATGTG